ATTTTTGTTTTTTTAGTAAAAATTAAAGACAGTTTGAGCCTTGTGAAGGGGATACAATGCAGTAACAAGGAAGCCTGTCATCAGGTACCTCCCAGGGTGATGGGCAAAGGTACTTTCCAGGGCTAAGAGATGGTGTATCTTACCTACTCCAAACTGCCATCAAGAGAAAAAACTGCTTTGGCGTACACACATCCGTACTTTCTAAAATTCTCCCTTTCATTCACTTAAATACACTTTAAAAAAGACATACGTTTGGGATGGTGTTTCCATACCCTGAGTAGACAAGCAGTCACCTAGTCACACTAACGCAATTCTCCAGGGTTCCGCTTTTGCCATCAAGCTACAGCTCTTCTCAGGGGATTATAAAATTAAGCAACAGAACATATACTGAGCATCTATGTACATCCAAAGAAAACAAAAAAAAAAAAAAAAGGGAAAGAAAAGGGCTAAAGTAAGTATGATTTTGAAGTATAGTAAACACAGAGGGATCAATGTCCGAACTTGGAGCAGCTGTGCATCAGTGGGTCGATGAGGCACTTTATAATAGACTGTCCAGACCTTGCCAGTGAGTAAAGCAGGAGTACCTGGTAGACAAAGGTGCTGGTAGTTTGTGACTATTTCACACATACACTTGGGGAAAAAAATCCTTCAATATGACAACTACCTCATGAACAACTGAAGTTTTTCACTTGTAGACAAAATAAGGGAACTACAAATAGAGACTCTGGGGAAAATGGCTTGTGTTACATACAGGCATCCTTATAAACAGTTGATTGTAAAGGAAGTGCAGAATTCTGAGAGGCTGTCAAACATACTTCACAAACTGGAAGAGCAAAGCCTGGGGCAATAGCTGGCTCTGGGGCAGCAGGCCCTGAACTGTAACTGTGGAGTCGCAGTGTTCAGCCACAGAGGTCAATACCCAGCACCACGGCCAACACTATCATAGAGCTACCAAGGGCCCTGGACTGCAGGAAAGCTCAAGAAGAAGCCCTCTCAGAAGCAGCCAGATTGGGCCCACGTAAAAGCTGGGCCTAACCAGGTGGGGTTCCTCACTAAATCCACCACTGCCTCAATGACTCACTGGTTACCAGATAAAGGAACTGATGCTGCATCATCCTGCCCTCAGCAAAGGTGCCTGCAAGCTTCTTGAGCACCAAAGCAAGGCCTTATGCTCTGTGCTGGGAGTCACCATGAACAGCCAGACCCAATCCCTGGCCATTCCAAGTTTTTGTGCTTGCGGGGATCCAGCCAAGTAACCACAGATGGGAAAGCAAAGAGGAGCCACATCACATGGTGTGAGAAATTTGGTGACAATGGAAATAAGGCTAAGTGGCACAGAGTGTGCACTCCATATATGTCTACTCCCTTCTCTTTCTCTCTCAGGTTCCCTCTCTCACTTAATGGCAATGATGTCTTTCCACTTACCCATGTTGGACATTAAAGATAATCACTTTGACCCATCGCTCTCCTACTATAAAACTGTTATCAAGTTTTATCACCTACCCACCACAATAGCTTTCATATCCATCTCTCATTTCTGTAGGCCATGGCTCTGGCTCTGCTCTCGCCACTGTACACCTTTGTGGCCACACTGCTTTCCTAAAGGCTTCCAGTCCCCGGGTATTCCCAATCTGAATAAATTGACCTTCTTTTAAAACCAGATCAAATATTTTTATCAGAATACTTGAGCATGAATTGCTTTTGCAGTTAGAAAAAAAAAAAAAAACCACAAACAAACAACAAAACTATTTCCATGAAAAATAATAAAAACAACAATAACAAAAAAGAAACTTGGTCAGATTATCTCACTCTTATTCTCAAAATATTTCAAGGATTCTGCTGGCCACAGAATCAAGTGTGTACATCTCACATGATGAGGTTACAGCCCTCTAGCTGCCCCAGCCCACCCTACCTCCCTCAGTTGCCTCTGCTGAGATCACAGCGGCAAGGAATACAGTGATGTGCCTTCCTATGTATGCT